GTCAAACCCTGATTTCCCACTTCGCAAAAGAAACGCTAGCAGAGACTCTGGCCTTTTTAATAAATTGGACCAAAACAGACAACGTTTTGCGCGCACCCGATTGGATGTTTGTAACAACCAATCAACTGCATGAACTAACTTTTAAATCGTCCACGATGGGACTGACTTCTTTTCTTTCTTTTTTTTCCGGTGGATAGCGGCTTCAATGGAAGTAATTTAACATTCTTAAACTTAACCTTTTATGTTATTTCCGAAACAGGGCTCGGTGCCTTACTCTAAGAATTTACAGTTTTGATTTGTTAATTTCTACTATAAAATTGTATAACTTTAAAATACTTCTAAACATTGTATCATTTGAATGATTATTGAAGTTAACTATTAGTAGTTAGGGCAGGGAAAGAGAAGAACCCTCCCTACAATCACATTTTTATAAATATCGTTGGCACTGATTCTTAACATTATTACAGGTCAGCTATCGTTTGAAAGAACGTAATCTCAAGTTTTCAAATAATTACTTTGGTCTTCATAAACATGCTGTGTCTTTTTAACTATCCACAAATAATGGAAAGAATAAAATACACAACGATGTTAATTAAAATAGACTAATTAAATACTCTATTTACAAATTATGAAGTCGGTTAAAATACAATGAACTGATATGTAAAATAAATTCAGGCTGTGAGAAAAACAGGCTTCCATCAGATGAAGTCCATTTACTGTCAATGATTGTCGTTGGGACTTAATGATTTACATTGCATAAGTCACTCTCACTGGAAACTGAAGTCTTTTGAACTCAAAAGGAAGATCTGGAGGAATTAAGGGAATTCTTGGAATTTAAACTCTTTTTCTCCTATCCTGTACCAGTAAGGATCTCTGCTTCCAAGAGAATCATCTTGAAAATTAACCTTGATTTTAACAAAGATTTGGAGGATCCAGATTTCTCAATAGGATAACTGCTATATTTTCTTTTAGTTCCAGTTTGTGTCATGACATTCCAGGAGGATTCAATGAGTTCAGGAACTCTATTGTATAATTCATTGACTATTCTTGTTCACTCACAGTGTCAGTAGAAAAGTACTTCATGTTTTCCTTTGGAATTTCTTGGAGATGTTTCCAGTTGATGCTATCCACAATTTGATTCTTGGGAGCTAAAATGGCGATCTCACAAAGCCAGTTTGAATCCATGAAATGGTGTTTAATATTTGGATAAACATGGTTAATCAAGACTTGGATACTTGATACTGAAACTCCACAACAATTTAGGAGTGAAATATCTCCATTTTGGTCCATTGTCATGGTTCCATTGCCAAGCTGCAACAGCAAAGCAACACATGTTTCTGCTTCAAGGTCACCTGTGATTCTAACTCTCATGTTTGTTTTTAGGCTGAGTCAGATGTAAGAATTTTTCAGAGCGTTGTGCCCATTTAATTGAAAAAGTGTAACACACACAGACATTTTCACATTTATTATATAAGAAGATAGATAAAAAAAGGTGAGACAATTGAAAGTTAGAAGGTCGTGTCCTTTTAATTGAAAAAAGTGTGACACACACAGACATTTTCACATTTATTATATAAGAAGATAGATAAAAAAAGAGATAATTGAAAGCTAGAAAGTTGTGTCCCTTTAACTGAAAAAGTGTGACACACAGACATTTTCACATTTATTATATAAGAAGAAGGATGCTCAGTCATCATCTACCTTACATTTTTATAAGCCAACCATTCATATATCCATTGAATGTTTATGACTTACCTTGTTTGGTGCTTCTGCTATGTATTTAAATATTCTTGACAAAGAAGAATCTGCAATGTTATCGGTCCTGACCTTACATCTCGGCTTCAGTCACTTTCGTGTTTGTTACCTAGGTTTACGGTAATATCATGTTGATACACCTGTTCCTGTATGACCACCGAAGTTAAGCAACTGGTCACTATTTAGATGAGTAACCGCGTGGGAATACCAGGTGATATAAACGCGTGGATGTGATGTTCGTGTAATGGTTAATGGCTGGGAAAGTTTAATTGGGATTGTTATATTAAGTTACGCGCAAACATCTCTGGGAAAGGTATGGATCCACCTCTTCTTCCTCCTCAGCTATGGGTTAAGTAGTAAGACTTGTATCACCAAACCATTATGATCTCAAAACAACAAAGAAATTTTTACAATCTAAAACTATTTTTGGCTTTAAATAACTCGCAAATTGTAGAGGGATCAGTTTATATTTGATTGTAATGTAGAATTGATACCCACTTTATATTTTCTTGATTGTTTCTCAAATTCTGATGCTGTGAATACACTTCTTCTGTCCCCCAGCTATGGGTTAATTAGTAAGGCTTGTATAACTAATCACTATTATCTCAAAAAAGTTATTACACTCTAAAAATATTTTCTGGCTTTAATAAACTGCAATGGATTTATAAGCCGTAGAATACGAATCAGTCTACCAAGAAATACTGATTAGCTACACGGGCATGTGTTTTAGATTTATTTACAGTCTCTGAAATATAAATTTATAGAAACTACTGTGGTCACAAAATGAGGGATTAGTTTATATATTGATAGCCATATAGAATTGATCCCCCACTTTATATCCAGATTATTTCTTGTGTGTTGATAATCCGTAGAAAAACGAATTAATCAATCAATGAAATACTGAATAGCTATACAACCAAGTCTTTTAGATTTATTTACAGTCGCTGGAATATAGATGTATAGAAACTACCGTGACCACATAGTAAGGGGTCAGTTTATATATTGTTTGTAATAGAAAGTTGATCCCCCACTTTATATCTGCATTACAATTTCTTGTTTGTTTATCAGATTTTGATTAGATATGAATCCGCCTCTATTCCACCAATCCATGGATTAATTAGTAAAACATAAATCGCTAAACCATTATTATCTCAAAAAAATTCTTCCAATCTAAAAATATTTTCTGGCTTTAAATAAACATGCAAAGGGTTGATAAACTGTAAAAAAAACTAATCAATCAATCAATCTTTGGTACCTTGTCTTTATGAATTTAAGCGTACTACTAGATTGGCAGTTAGGTCTCATAATTTTTTAGTTGAAATTGCTAGATGTAACCATAGGTTATATGCTCATAAGTTATTATCTCGCACTTATTGCTTGTAGAACTCTCTTCCCGCAAACTTGGTTTCCAGTCAAGTTTGATCTTCAAAAATTTAAATGCAATATCAATCGTCATATTCTGTCTCGTTAACTCCTGTTCTTTTATTATCCTCTCTCCTTAATGATGTTTTTTCTAAGATTCTTTTACACTCAGTAACCCCTTGAGTCTTAGTTGCTTTATATCCTTACTTAGAATGAAATGATTATGACCAAAAAAATTAACTCGCCATTCTTAGTCGTTTTAGATCGCAGACACTTATTTAAGAATATAATAGTAATTAGATGAAGCATTTTAAAGTTTTATTAATTTTGGTGGCTGTAATTAGTGGCTTTATTGCCTTTCTTGGGGTGAAATGATTAAAAAATACAATATCCCTACTAATATTACTAATTTATGTAAGGGAAAATTGAATATCTTTGGCTAGATGTGAAAGTGTCTCGTCAGTATTCTCATGATTTAGTGGACCCCACCGGATCGATGCTTGGACTTAAGGTAAGCTGTACATTCACTTGTTATCATGAGGAAGAAAGCGGACTAACACTCGCTGCCACGTATGTTGGGGCATTTATTATGACATGGCAATAAATCCGGATAACCTTATTTTCTTCAATTTCTTTTTAGAATAGACAATGTAACTTATACTAAGTTAAAACTTAATGTTGCGAAAGGGTAAATGGAAGTGTCAGCCAGGACTCTTTGCAAATTACCTCCCCCTCTCATCGTTACCTCTGTTTTTGTTGTTGTTGTATGTGTTATATGTAATAGGAGTAGGTAGGCTTTCCTACCGCCCGGTCCACACTCCTCCCCCTTCTCTTGGACATGAGTAGAGGCTTACGCCTTGTTTCTTGTTTAGGAAGGGGTTCCCGGTACTCTCTCTCTCTATCTCACTGGCCTCTGGATCTCCAGTTGCCTTGATCTATCCACTACTCTTCTCCTCATCCTTTCCTCTATCACTCCTATCTGATCTTGCTCCAAATTTTCTGTAATCCCTTGCGTCCTAGTGGTTTTCCGCCTTGCTTGGGGTGAAACGCTTAAAAAAAAAGCATTTAATCGGGCGTTGGAGGGAAACAACGAACAAGAGTGAATAATAATTGTATAATGAACAGCCGTTTGTTTCCATGACCTAATCGGTAAGGCATCTTTCCGGATCGGTATATTCGGTTTAGTTTAGTTTATTTTACAGCATATCAACCTCAATTAGTTATTTAATATCGGCAAGATTTTGAGGATAGGTTCGTATGAATAGAAAATGTATTATTTGTAAGAAACCATTTTGTAGATCAGGTTTCTGGACGTATTTTTGTAAAGAGGGTTTTATCTAGAGTTAAATGTATTCCTGGTGATATTCTTTTTTTTTAAATAAAAATGTATTTCTAGTATTATTTTTTTCAAAAATTTATTGCTCGTATTTTTACTATAAAAATCTTCTTTTTTTATACTTTCCTAATGTTTTGATCCCAGTTTAGGGGTTAATTATTTGCCCATAGCTGGGACCCTAACAGGTGCAACAACACCGGGTCAACGAGGGACCCGGGAAGAAAAACCATTGAGAGTTGGTCCACAGTGCTGAAAACCTTCCGATCAGAGGCCTTGCTGTCGGATGTAATTTGTCGTCTTACCCAGGACGACCGGATCGGTAGGGAAGCCTCTTGAAATGAAAGGGATGCAAGTTATGCTCTTCGAGGTCTCTTATTCTTTGTTAGTGTTTGCAACTGTTTTCTAATAACCGTAGATTATTTTATTTATTTTACTTATCTTTTAGTAAAATACTTTCTCACCGTACATTTCAAACCAAGCATATGTTCAAACACTAACTGAGATAAACATTTTAAAAGTTCATCATTTTACCATTCTTCTTTCAGAGATGCCTTGCTTGATGGTGCCAGTCTTGGAGATCGATGGAGACATGATGATTCCTCAGAGTATGGCCATTGCCAGATATTTAGCCAGAGAATTCGGTAAGGAACTGCTAATTAGATGTGAAATTACAGAGATACTAAACGGCGACAAACGGTTGTATGAATGTGAATATTTAAACGGGAGAAAATTCATTTCTTGCAAAAGTAGTTTTTATACTTAATTTCTCTGGCATTCAAGCCGGCAAATGTTATTAATTCTTTCTTTTTATGTGCCATGCGATTTCAGGATGTGGGCGATCATGACGCTCTACCCCCTCTATCCCTAGCGGCTCTCAACAAGTTCCCTCCCCCAGGTCACGTTTTGTCATCCACCTGGCCAAGCCCGTCAGGGATGTCACGCGTTGTTTTCCCTTGTCTCTTGCTTCCCTCTATTCGACCTGTGAGTATCAGATTCTCCAGGCCCTCTTTCCTCATTATGCGTCCGAGAAACTTCAGCTGTCTCTTCCTGACGTTAAGTATAAGTCACTTCATCGTTTGCATCCTCTCAAAGACCTCATCGTTGCTGACACACTCGGTTCATGATATCCTTAGCATCCTTCTGTAGAACCACAGATTCTCTTCTTCAGCTTTGCGGAAGTCGTTCAACGTTTGCCACGTAACAGTTCAGTATTCGTTTCTTTGTTACCATAGAAATCTTCCTGTCTTGTAATACTTTGCCCAACTTTTGGAATGCGTCCTTGGATATCTCAATCTGTCTACGGATCTCAGTGTCGCACTTACCATTCTCTGTCAAAACGCTTCCCAGATATTTAAACTTCCGTGTCGGCTTGATTCTAGTGTTCCCAACCAGCAAATCGCATTTTGGGATCATCCTTTTACTGATGACCATGCACTTCGTCTTCTTGTAGTTTATGGTTAGTCCTTGTTATAGTCCGAGTTCCTTGTACCACGGTGATAGTCCAAGGTAGAACCAATAAAGAGGAACTCGAACACGGATATGGAATAACACAGATATATTACAAACAGGAATTATATACAGAGAAGTAGAAAGTGTTAGTACGAACAATCAGGTTTAGTAGTAATTGTCTGAACGCGACTCTGTTTCGGTCTGCCTCTGACTCGACTGACTGACTCGCTCGCTCTGACTAACTGACGGACTTCTGACGGACTTCACTCCAGACTTCAGACTTCAGACCGAACGGTATTTAGTCACCCCCACCCACGAGGACATCATGTGGCACAAGGCCGGTTTAACGTGGGATCTTCGAGCCCATAGGCTCGGCCAAAAATATGCCCTTTGAACCCGTATAAATGGATACAGGGTCGGTTTACCTCCCCGAAAGAGACTCCGCCCGCCGGCATAGCCTCGTTCCGGTTCCTCCCCGCCCGAAGGCAGAGAGTTCAACCGATCAGCCGGTCAGCCGGTCGCCCGACTTCGGACTGAACT